TAACAAAGAGAAATTTATTTTCTCACAGTCTAGTAGGCTAGAAGTCCAAATTTAGGGCATCAGCTCCAGGGGAAAGCTTTCTCTCTCTGTCAGCTCTGGAGGAAGGTCCTTCTCATCAATCTTCCCCTGGACTAGGAGCTTCTTGGCACAGGAACCCCAGGTCCAAAGGACCCGCTCTGCTCCCAGCACTGCTTTTGTGATGGTATGAGGTACCCGCCTCTCTGCTAGCTTCCCTTTCCTCTTTTTATTTTTATTGTGCTTTAAGTGAAAGTTTACAATTCAAGTTAGTCTGTCATATAAAAATTTATACATACATTGTTATGTGACCCTAATTGCTTTCCCTATACTGTGACAGCACATTCCTCCTTTCTACCCCTGATTTCCCATGTCCATTCAACCAGCTCCTGACACTATCTGCCTCCTCATCTCACCTCTGAACAGGAGCTGCCCATTTAGTCTCATGTATCTACTTGAGCTAAGAAGTACACTCTTCACGAGTATCATTTTGTGTCTCATAGTCCAGTCTAATCACTGTCTTATGAGTTGGCCTTGAGAATGGTTTCAGTTCTGGGCTAACAGAGAGTCCAGGGACCATGTCTTCAGGGGTCCCTCCAGTCTCAGACCATTAAGTCCAGTGTTTTTACTAGAATTTGAGTTCTACACCCCACTTTTCTCCTGCTCTGTCAGGGACTTTCTGTTGTGTTCCCTGTCAGGGCAATCATTGGTGGTAGCAGGGCACCATCTAGTTCTTCTAGTGTCAGGTTGATGAAGTCTCTGGTTTATGTGGACTTTTCTGTCTCTTGGGCTAATATTTTCCTCATGTCTTTGGTATTCTTCATTCTCCTTTGCTCCAGGTGGGTTGGGACCAATTGATGCATCTTAAATGGCTGTTCGCTAGCTTTTAAGACCCTAGATGCCACTCACCAAAGTGGGATGCAGAACATTTTCTTAATAAACTTTGTTATGCCAGCTGACCTAGATGTCCCCTGAAACCATGGTCCCCAGACCCCCACCCCTGCTACTCTGTTCCTTGAAGTGTTTCACTGTATTCAGGGAACTTCTTAGCTTTGGTTTAGTCCAGTTGTACTGACTTCCTAAAACAGGGAACATTTAAACACCTGGTTTAATACCCCAACCTCATTTGGCCTTCCTCCACTACCTTTCTTTGGCAGCCTCCCTTACCATTTATTCACCCAAGTTATTTTTCTGTTGAATTACACAGATGGAATTCTTCTTTTCAGAAAAGTAGGCACGTGGGTTCTCGTAAAAGTATTAGGCCGTTGCTTCTGTCTTCAATCATTGATGGTTTAGACTTAACTTTCTTTGAGACATCTGTCACAAATACCCTTTGCACTTAGTGTGTACACCTGCATTTTCCATGGATATACCTTCATTGTTGCTGTTGTGTGCTGTTGAATCAATTCCGACACAGAGCTACTCTAAATGACAGAGGAGAACTGCCCCATAGGGGTTCCTAGGCTGAATCTTTACAGGAGCAGATTACCAGGTCTCCCTGCTCCTGTGGAGTGGCTGGTGGGTTTGAACAGCCAACCTTGTGGTTAGTAACTAAGTACTTAACGATTGCACCACCAGGGTTCCTCATACCTTCATTAAACCAAAAAAACCAAACCCGTTGCCATTGAATCGATTCCAACTTATAGTTGACCCTATAGGACAGAGCAGAACTGCCCCATAGGGTTTCCAAGGAGCAGCTGGTGGATTCGAACTGCCGACTTTTTGGTAGCAGCTGTAGCTTGCCATAGCTCTTAACCACTGTGCCACCAGGGCTCCTCCACTAGGTCCTTTATATTCTTGATTCTAAAGTATACTTAGTGTTTACTAGATACCAGGTCTTGTGCTAAGCGCTTTACATGTTTTAGCTCACTTAGACTTCACAGCAATCCAATGTTGGGGTACCATTATTGACCCCATGTTACAAAGAAATGGATGGATAGACAGACAGTGTAACTTGTCCAAGGTTTCACTTCTTAAGTGGCAGAGCCAGCAATCGAACCCTGGTTGACTAGTCCTGTCTTAGTCATCAAGTGCTGCTATAACAGAAATATCACAAGTGGATGGCTTTAACAAAGAGAAGTTTATTTCCTCACAGTCAAAGTAGGCTAAAAATCCACATTCAGGGTGTCAGCTCTAGGGGAAGTCTTTCTCTCTCTGTTGGCCTTCTCATCAGTGTTCCCCCAGACTAGGAGCTTCTCGGCACAGGGACCCCAGTCCAAAGGATGCGCTCTGCTCCTGGCACTGCTTTCTTGATGGTATGAGGTCCCCCTGTCTCACTGCTCACTTCTGTTTTTTATATCTCAAGAGATTGCCTCAGGACAC